GGTGTTTCTGGCGTCACAAACTACCTTGTAACCAATCAGGTCAACGAGTGGATCTCTGAGCTGGTGTGAGTGAGTGGAGGCGGAGCTAATTTGCATATTAATGGATCCTCATATACTAAATGAAGCAAGGGTGTAGAGTTACATTCAAGCTATTTTAAGGCATGAAGGAAAAAAACGTTTCAATGTGTCATTTTGGTGATCAAAGATGAGTTTACAGGGATATAATTATTAACTTCAGGGGGACTTTAAATAATTGAATAATTACATAAACCATAATTCACAAGCATATCTGATTGCCATGTGCTTAGATAACAGTGAAATATATAGTAAACATTTCTCTCATGATACAAGACAGCATTTACTTTTTAGCAAGAGCACATTTTGCCCCCAGCACTTCTAGAGATGCAATGACATTGCAAAAATGTCTACTCTTGTAGATTGCAGCTGCATTCGACATGATTTTTGAATTTGTATTAATGCTCCAAATAGCTAATGCTAATATTCAAGCAAATAACAAATGCTACAATTTTTTTTTTTTATTCTTGTAAAATTGTATCATAGCATAGCACTCTAGCACTCATAATCTTAGCTAAGCTTTCATAGAATTACACAAAATGCTTCAATCCTCGAGTCGTCATGCCGGGGTAGCATTTATGTGTCATTTTGTAAGATTACTCTTGTCATCTGCTTCTCAGATGGCTATCAATCTGATAGTGCCATTTTCCAGTGACATTTCCTCAAGCTTGATGGACAGAGCCTTGCTCTCTCGGCAATGTGCAATTCAGAGTGTGAAGTAAAAGCTGAAGCACTGCAGAAAACACTCTGGACACCGAGTCATTTCGTTCAAACTGCACACAAATCCAATTTCCGTTCCAAATCGATCTTTAGGATTGCCTCTCTACACTTTGTCATTTTGCAAGTGATGAAATCTGATCCGTTAGTTCAGACATTGTAATCAATATGTGTTGTATTTACAGTGGTTACTACAGTAATGATGTAAGCGTCAGCAGCATGCCAAGAAACGTTCTCGTAAAACTGCGGATAGCTGTCATTGTGGAAAGAGAAGATGGAAAATCATGACCCGCATGAGTCAATATGGATGACATATCATGGATCCATCTGTTTAAAACTGCTGACTCAGTCACTCGTTCACTATATGGTGAATGTGGTACAAGTCATTTAAATGAAATTTGGACAAGCTCCAAATGACATCCCAAATGATCTGGAAATCTGAGACTGTTTAGACTGAGGTTACATCTACCTTAATCTGGATACATTTGAAAAAAGCGTTTTCATTTCAAAACACTTTCAGTCCACACTTCCACTTTCAAGTGTTTTCAAAAAAGTTTTTTGTCCACACTGATGAAGGTTCACAGAGATTGTAAAGAGAGACCAGACTTGATAACGTTTTCATACTATTCTTCTGGCACTATCATTTCATACTATTAGCAAAACATCCCCACCACTTACTAGTGCGTTCAGGTGGCACTCAATCGCCATTTTCCTTTGCCTTTGCCCTCTTGTTTTTCCACAGGACAGCAATTTGGAGTATACATCTTCTGAAAACTTTGCAGAAATGTAATATAAGGTTTGAAGAGTAACATTTATCTTTAGCAACACTGTAAAAGCGAATAGCACTTATCAGGAACACGCCGCTACAGCCACATGACTAAACATGCACCATCATTTTCAAAAACCTCAATTTTCAAGAAGACAAAATTATGTTTTATGAACAAATTTCGGATGGAGCATTTTTGATTTTCCAAAAAAAAGAGAAGAAGGTGGTTTTGAACAGATGGCAAACCATGTATATGCAACACTTTACAATAAGGTTTATTAGTTAACATTCTTAACGACCTTAGTTAATTAATTGGGTAACCTTATTGTAAAGTGTTACCCATGTATAAATGTGGTTTGGATCAGGTTTATATTAGTGCTGTCAAACGATTAAAATATTTAATCGTGATTAATCGCAACAATGTCATATTTAACTCGCGATTAATCGCAATTAATCGCACATTTTTATCTATTCTAAATGTCTCTTGGTTTCTTTTTGTCCCATTCTTTTTTCTAATTTTAATGCTCTTATCAACATGGAAAAGTGGATCGGCTTGCTTTGTGCAAATGTTTTTTTTATTGAAAACAACATTGACAATACTGTGTTCAATTTCACACTAACATTCTCACTTGGAGCAAATAATCTCTCACACAATGTAACACTGTCCATCAATAAAAGGGTGAAAGAAATACTGAGAGGTACTGATATTGACGAGGGGCGGAGAATTCACATCAGCTGTGTGTGTGTGTGTGTGCTTGGCCATCAAGTGGTATTTCAGACTGGACTTGCTGCTAAGATGATAGCTCAGTTCACAACGACAAAACACACAGATCACTTTGGTCTTGTCAATGGAACCATTTGGCAACTTTTTAAAAGTAAACTTTCCATTCAGAATCTTATTGGCATCCATTTCGGCGTCTCGCGCTCGTCATCCACTCAAAACGTAACGTTAACCTACTATTTGGCCGGCTCGCAAGCCTAAACAAGTGTGTGCGGCGTTGTGCCTGTTGTTTTGTTTCCGGTCTAGCTAGATCCGCTTGCGCTTTCAAAACGTCCTTGTGCGGCGCAAGCCATTTAAATGAATGGGTTTCATAGCGCAGCGCCGTGCATGCCGCGTCCTGTTGCAAAAGCATGTGAAAAAAACTACAAAGTTTGCTAGGCCAAAAAGACCGTTAATCGCGCGATAAAAAAATTAACGCCGTTAAAATGGGTTTGCGTTAACGCCGTTAATAACGCGTTTAACTGACAGCCCTAGTTTATATTCAATGTGTTTTTGAGCTGTTTAGAATACAAAAACACATAGATTTGAGTGGATATGCCAAAATCGATTTTGTTGTTTTTGTTGTTTTCCAAGGCCAGCTTTAAATGCCCATATGTTAAGATTTGTCGGACAATGACTGCTGTTGTGTTCGTTTAACCCTCACTAATGCCACATCTGGATGGAACAGAACTTGAGTCTCCCGTGCAAGTATCGACGTTACCAGGACGTTTTTCAGCAGTTAAATGAAGGGTTTTGGGCGACACGGGAATCTCATGCGGCCTACGAGGATTGAACTCATTAAACATTATGTCAGTGGAGCTGCACCTGTGTCTTCTTTGACCTGCGGCTGAGTTTCATTACCTAAAGAGCAACGGATGCCAAGAGAAGACACATGCAAATGCTGCAGCATTGCCTGCAGAATACATGGCGCCGTTTGTTATTATTATTTCTCTCACAGCAGATGCCTTCATCCAGGACAAATTACGCAACGCATCTTTATTGATTTAAAGAGCGTGACAGAGGATGGGGAAGAGGAAATTCACCGTAAATGCGACACTTCCTCGAGAAGCGATGATGGGGCGTTTATTCCTGAAACCCTTTATCCCCCAAGGATGGGGGTGTAGGGACTGTGCCCTTATCACTATAAGAATACCAATGGTGCTTTTATGTTGGCTGGGAATAATTCATGAAAGCTGTAGGGGATGGACAGACACGCAGTGTAAACGTATGTGGAATGAATGTGAAGCTGGACGGTTTTTAAAATGATTCAAGGTCTGGAGGAGGTCTGAATTACCAACCGCTTCAATAATATCTGAACAACAAGATTTTGACACCCTTAAGAAAAATTGCAGTGCGATATGTCGACAATATTTTTTTAAAACTGGGACATTTTCCTCTGAATAGATCTTTTAAATTGAAGAGCATCCTTTGATTCTCGGTGCACTCTTCCTGACCCATAACTGAGAGTACCAAATCAAGGTCTGGAGACTAAATGAAACTGTTGTTCCGTCATATACGGATGTTTCTTCACCAATGGACACTTTTGAGCCTTGTGGAAATGAACTGCTCGCTAAAATAAATCCTCTGAAAACACAGTTTAAACACTCTCACTCAAGATAATCTGTCTACTATCACCAAACATACAACACCAGTTCACCCAAAAATAAAACATCCGTCATCGTCATTTACTCACCTTCATGTTGTTTCAAACATGACTTTCACTTTTGGATGAACTGACCCCTTTAACATTCTTTCGCTCATGAAAGCTTGTAGTAGAGGCTTGTAGCAGCCTGTAACGTCTTGTTACATCTTTTTATCAACAAAAAAAGAGATATTTTTGTAAAGTTAAACTACATTTAGTCTTTTTTGTGTCAAAGTTGCATGTTAATATAGTCGCAGTTATCATTTAATGACCTTAGGGCGTTTTCACACCTATTGATCGTTTGTTTTGTTCCGAAACAGGGACTTAATGTGTTACAATGTAGCATTTTCTACTTGGCAAGGTAACCTTTCAAAGCGTACCAAAATGTGTTTATGCAAGTCACATGCGAGTACAACTGTCCTCTTATTGGTCAGAATTTCCTCTGCGTCATCCATCAAGATGATTGGCTCCATGAGCTTATTGTGGCTTTATTTGTAAGTGTCGAGAAACACGCAAATACTATATGAATGTAGACGTCATTCTCGCTGTCAAATGATATACTACATTCGTATTAATACTAACGCGCTCTCTCTGGATTTCCCAGCGCTGATAGAGGTTTATAGTGTCAAGACGGATGCAGCTAGAGCAGGAATCAAGTGAAAAAAATCAAGGAAAAACAGTGTTTTTGCCTATATTGTTTTGCCTTCAGATTAAAAGTCTGGGTAAAACAGCTCTAAATTAAAGGCAATTGAGTTTAAAAAAAATGTAACCTTCATATAACAAACCGGGGGGGGAAAAAGTGAATCTCTTCGTCTCAATAAAACTCAACCCCCTGAGCCATGAAGGTATAGTTGAAGAAACACCAATAAGGCATTGAGGTTGATCTTGTTTGCCTTGAACTGCTACACTGGTGATCCCATTTGCTTAGCTCTGAATACATTATTTAAATGACCACTGCATGTATTATAGACTCGGTATGAAATATTGAGTATGATTTTATGCTTGCATAAACAAATCTTTTCGCTCTCTCTTCCCCATAGCCTCTGAAGATGCACTGCAGGAGCTGCGCGCTCGTCACCAGCTCGGGTCATCTAACCGGCGGGGGTCGTGGAAAAGAGATCGATCAGGCGGAGTGCGTCATCCGAATGAACGATGCGCCTACAGCCCGTGGCTACGGGGCGGACGTGGGTCACCGCACGAGCCTGAGGGTCATCGCTCATTCCAGCATGCAGAGAGTCCTGCGCAGCCGCCATGAGCTCCTCAACTCCAGTCAGGACACGGTCTTCATCTTCTGGGGACCCAGCAGTTACATGAGACGTGACGGGAAAGGGCTGGTTTATAACAACCTGCGGCTCATGAACCAAGTGCTGCCCAAACTCAAGGTCTACATCATCTCCTGGCAGAAAATGCTCCAGTTTGATGAGATATTCAAGAGAGAGACCGGCAAAGACAGGTAATAGGCACTTTGTTACGCTGCGCAGAGTCAATTTGAAATGGCCAATTTAGTATCTGTGATGATACGATCAAGAAAATAAGCTTAAATATGTGACTACTCTGATGTTAGATTGAATAAAGCTAAATATTTTCAAACCCATTTCTGAAATGAAATGGGTCTTCGGAACATGATTAACTGTAAGCGTGCATTTACATGAGTGCGATGACAGACGTTTTCATCAACCTGCCAATACTATGAATGTGGTATGGCCTAATTTTTGTGACCTATTTTTTTATTTAAAAAAAGGTGTTGTAAGGGAAAGATGATAAATGTCCTAGAATAGAGTCTGCAGAGGCCCTTATTATTCCACATTTACTGCTCTCTGAGAAGACCAACCTCTTTTCCTCTTTCTACTCCAGGATCACATGGGAAATCAGTTTGGGATTCTGGATTTGAACATTAAGCCAAGATCTCTACTTAATCAAAGCAAAAAGGAGATTAGTGTGTGAGCGAATGGAGCTGGAAATAGTCATTGTTGTCCACAGAACATGGATTTGTCATGATTGTAATTTTGTACACTCTTAAAAAATAAAGGTCCACGAAGAACCTTTAACATCCATGGGATCTTTCCAATTGCACAAAAAGTTCTTTAAAGTGGAAAAAGGGTTCTTCAGTTAAAACTGTTCATCGGAAGGTTCTTTGGGAACCCAAAATGGTTCTTCTATGGCATCACTGTGAAACCGCCTTTCTGGAACCTTTATTTTTAAAAGTGTCCTGGTTTTATTCTAATCCTTCAAACGAACAATATATAGTATGCTCTCATTAGTGAATGTCTTTTCATGTGGGTTTTATCGCAAAAACTCTTCTTAAAACTCTTTGGAGGCTCATTGGAAATAAATGCAAATATATACCATTGATGAACTGGCTTAGAATGATCCTGGAGTGTTTTGTAGCTTCTGTCCCTTATTATCAAAGCAGTCATATTGCAGACGTAAAAGTGTGTCTTTTTTTCATCTTGTATCTGTTTGTATCTCGTGGGAAGACAAAAGATTGCTGTGAGAATCAACAACACTCAAGATAAAATCTGTTAGATGCCCGACTTAGACTGGAGAAGGACGGCTGCTGTTCTTTTATTGGTTTGATCAGTGTTTTTCCATGTTTGTTTGCATATAGAGAATTTCAAAGAGCTGGTCTATCAAAAGTTACTTTAGGAAACTGCTACTGTCTTAAAATGCACAAAATGCATTTATAATCACAAACAAAAAAACAGGGATTCTTAAGATCCAAAAATGACAACAAAAGCACCAAGTTCCAGTCATGTAACATTATTAATATTCAATGAGCAGGAATTGCATCTGGGACTTTACACTTCAGGGAATATTTTGGGGGAAAAAGTCATTATCATTTTAAGAGTTCTTGTCAAAGGTGTGTTTACAAAGACTTTTTAAAGACTTCCCAGTCTTTTTAGAGGCATCGTGATTGCAATTTAATTATTGGCCCTACCCATATATTATACAACAATGCTAGATATAACAAATATTTGGTAACATACACTACCAGTCAAAGGTTTTGTATCTGTAAGGTTTTTAATGTTTTTAAAAGAAGTCTCTTCTGCTCACCAAGGCTGCATTTATTTGATTAAAAATACTAAAAAACAGTAATATTGTGAATATTACAATTTAAAACAGTTGTGTTCTATGTGAATATATATTTTTTCTGTGATCAAAGCTGAATTTTCAGCATCATTAATCCAGTCTTCAGTGTCACATGATCCTTCAGGTTCAGAAATCATTCTAATATGATGATTTGATGCTCAAGAAACATTTCTCATTATTATCAATGTTGAAAACAGTTATTTTTATTTTTATTTCAGGATTCTTTGGTGAATATAGAAAGTTCAAAAGAACAGCATTTATCTGAAATAGAAAGCTTAAATACTACCGTTCAAAGGTTTGGGGTCAGTAAGATTTTTATTTATTTTTGGGGGGAAATAAATAAAAGAAATCAATACTTTTATTCCTAAAGGATGAATTAAATTGTTCAAAAGTTACAGTAAAGACATTTATAATGTTAGAAAATGAATAAATGCTGTTCTTTTTAACTTTCTATTCATCAAAGAATCCTGAAATAAAACGGTACACAACTGTTTTCAACATTGATAATAATAATACATGTTTTTTGAGCACCAAATCATATTAGAATGATTTCAGATGGATCATGTGACACTGAAGACTGGAGTAATGATGCTGAAAATTCAGCTTTGATCACAGGAATAAACTACATTTCAAAATATATTAAAATAGGAAACAGTTATTTTAAACTGTCACGTTTAAAAATATAACTTTTTTTGTATTTTTAATCAAATAAATGCAGCCTTGGTGAGCAGAAGAGACTTCTTTTAAAAACATAAAAAAGCTCACCGATCCAAAACTTTAGACTGGTGGTGTATTTCATTCATTAGTTTGTTTTTATGAAATACTGCTGAGAAAACTCAAAATGTGGATCTTTAACTGCAATCTGTCAAATGAGCAATCAGACTTGATTTAAGTCTCAAGAGACAATGCAACAAAGTTAAAAACTGTATAACACTTGTAAGGAACTCAGCTTTTTGGAAATATTAATAATCAATAATAACTTGTTATTATTAATTATGAATATTTGGGTCAGTTAATTGGATTAACTTGATGTGGCTGAATTAATATTACAATCAATTAATCAGTTCGCCCAACAAACTCTTTTGATTATTATCTTCCATCGCCCCAGAAGAAGAATTATTTCTTAGCATGTACAGCACTTTGAGCAAGTAGCAAAAACCGCGATCGTAAAAGTGACTTTGTATTGCAAACAAGACAGAACCAAATACATATTATGTACAAGTTTTATTAACTAAATATAGATATTTATATGAATATAAATAAACTAAACAACATACACACATGAATACATAAATAGGTGAGTGATAGAGCGAAACCGAAAACGGAACTATTGAGAAGTTCCATGTAACTATATGAGAAGAACATCAGCATTTCATTTTCAAAGCATCAAATCAAAACTTGCATTCATGAGTAGCGTACACTATTATCAAAGTTGTTGAAAACTGAAGTTGTTGATGATTCTGCGAGTGTCACATGTTGAAGTCTCAATCATTTTCTTCTTTGTTGGATGAAGAAGATATGATGAACTTGCATGGTGGGTTAGAGTCCTTGTTACAAACTCCTGAGATTGTCCTTGGTTCTTTGTGAGAGAGTCTTCTCTCTCCTGCATGTCTGCATATCTGGTTGGATCAAGGCCTTCTGGGCCCTGGGCCCCCGTGGAGGGGGAGTGTGTTCCCCAGTATCAGTAGCACTGTGTTGCGGCCGAATGAGAAAACTAAGAGAGGAAGGTCACATGTGGACTGTCTCTAATAAAGGCCTGAGAACGATCCACCCCTAAGGGTTGACTGGACCAATAAGCAAGGTGAGATGTCCGAGTGGGAAGGTTGCTTTCAGTTAATTTACGAGTCTTTGTCCCAAGCTTGATTATACCTTCATTATTGCTCAGATAGATATAACACATCCACACTGCATTCTAGAAGAAGGTGATGTACATCAAAGTGTGTGTCATTAAATGAGGATTAATTAGGTAGGAGGCATGATACATGTGAGGTTACAACATTGACCGTTAGTTGGTTGTATACCCAGGTACATACCATAATATATACATAATAGTACACAAGACAGTAAATCATTTACACAATGCTATGAAGCATGTTCATTTATAGATCAGTTAGTCTATGATTAATGCAGAAAAGTCTGTTTTAAAGAGGGTTTCTGTCTTCCCATTGTCTCTCTCTTGTGCATGTGGCCAAAGGAATGTGGTCGTAAAAACCTCCTTATCGGCCCTGTAACATGATACTGTTTCAGCCCTGGTGTTTGTTTCATTTGGGATGTTAGTTTTGGAGTTTCATAAACCTTTGTATATGAATAATTAGTGTGTGTCTGATGGGTCCAGACCCTACACACTGGTCGTGCATCTTTTTGCCACTGTATATTCAGGAAACACTCTCAGAGTATTTTACAACAGGAATTCCTTATGCATCTGCGGTTCAAACTTTGCAGATCTATTAGGGGGACTGACTGTATCAGGGTTGCGGACTCCCATTACCCGCGGTAAAATCACTGTAACACATGCCGTCTAATGGCTCATTGCTTTATTAAAGAATCATAGTGCCCTGAGAGCCTCAATCTGCTCGGTCCTTCTGAAGCTGTTCTTACAGTCAGACCCCAAGACTACTTTTAACGTAATTCAGGCTGATGGTGCTATAATTCGTGCATGGTAGGTCATGTAAATAGTCATGCAGGAACACTTGGCAGTCGGGACGCAGTGCCTTTGCTCTCTGGCCTGGCAGCGACAGACAGCCCTGTGGCACAAACACAGCCCAATGTGTTTTGGCATTTTGTTTTTCCAGGACTTAGCAGTTCGTTTGTCTCTTCTTCTGTTGTTTTCTCCTGCATCTGGTCACATTGGCTTCTAAACAACCCTGCTGTGGAGAATACTGTCTGTCAGAATGTGTTCACGGGGATTCTGAGCATAAATCTAAGCAATATGTTTCCATGATATCTGGATAGCATGTGCTGGATATTAAATGTTGAATATTATGTTTGGTAACTTATTTTTTTTTTTGTAGTGACTTAATGGCTAAAATACAAACTCACATTTGAATTCTTTGGGTAATTGAAATGCAGAGGTTGTGGTCATTCTCTCTGCCGCCTTGGATTTATGAATTTTCTCACGTAATATTGTACCACACACACATTTCTCTAAGTGCTCTTCATGTACTAAACATTGTCAGGCATTATCATCCTACTCAAAGACTCAGTGGTGTATCAGCGTGTGCATTCCAGAAATCATTTGTTTCGTCTGAAAAAGTCATTGAAAGAAACTAGCACAAATATAGTAGTATATTCATTTATTGATTTAATTTAACCCTCAAATGACACGATATGTTTATGTCTTCGGGGCCATCTTTATCCTTGGATATTTCCCTGAGACTATAAGCTAAATGAACCGACCTTCAACTGACAGTCGTACATATTATTTTAATAATGAGTTTGAATAATGAATTATTCAAATAACTATTTGCAGTTCAAGTACAGCTGAAATGACAGAAAATCTACACATCCATTATAATGATTTTCATTTTTATCAGTTCTTCCACCTCCATAATCACAGTGACCGAGACATGTTTGGTTCACTTAGTTTTGTCGTGGTCATGAGACATTAACTCGCGGGAATGTGATATGGCGTGGCCATGAGATATTCATTTGTGGGAATGTGACTGAAACGTGTTATTAAACTAAACAAAACACAGAGGAGATCACAAGAGCAAACACAAGTAACGAAAACCACACTCGTTTACATGACAACGGTGTACTAAAACCGGAAACGTTTGTCCTTTGTGTTTTCCACGTACAGACAACGTTGTCAAAACGATCCCCGTTCACGCGGATCCGCGTAAACGATTACAAACGCTGTATTCTGCTGCCAGGCCAGTAGGTGGCGATGTCACTTTGTGAAGAAACACTACGAGCCTATAGACTGAACACGTAACACGTTTCAGGAAACGAATTGTTTCCAAAAACTGGCACTTTGAACCCGTTTTCAAAAGTTTGCGATTTCAGGCCCGCAAAACGTGACTGTATGAGGGAGTCATTGAATTTTTCATTCAACCAATTTGTTCAAAAACTCTTAATTCATTCATAAACAAATTAGTGTTTGGCCGCATCCAAATATATATACTTCCCTGCATACTCAAGCCAAAAAGAGTATGTGAAAAGTGTAGTATGAATTCACAGTATTCATAAAACAGTGGGCAAAAAGATAACCTCCTGTTTACGGCGAGATTCTGAAGTGCGTTTAACTTGACACAGAGACACAAACATTTTTGAACTCTTCCTAATCAAACACACCCGATTCAAGTCATCAGCTCGTTATATACGACCTGAAATATATACGGGTCAGATGAGGGAGACATCCGAAATGTCCACTGTTGGTGTGCCTCCAGGAACAGGGTCGGGAAACACTTGTCTAGCACACACACTGACACAAGAAAACATGGTGTGAGTGAACCGGCCATTAAAAGTGTGAGAGGTACGGCAGTAGAATTTTAAAAAGTCTAGAGACGCGCTTTTTTAAATTTTTTATTTTGTTTATCTTGAGCGCCGTGTTTTTGGAATGCCATATCATGCGAAATCATGAATCATGAATTAAAGCAAAGCATGGCTGTGGAATGCAAAGTCACGTTCTGTGTGAAGAGCCCATAAGCTTGCTTTCACCACAGAATAAAATTATGACTTTATAACTCGGAATTGCGACTTTATATCACGCAAGCAAGTCAAAATTGCGAGATCATTGCGCAATTACCTTTTTGTATTTTTTATTCTGTGGCGGAAACAAGCTTCCATACATAACTGTGCAGAGGTTTAGATGTTGATTAATTCCACTGTATATTCCAACACATGTACAAGAGATTATTTACACTGCATTTGCCAGACAGTGGATGGACACTGTTATCGGAAGTAATCAGAGGCTTCTAATCAATCACGTCCGGGCTGTTGTTCACTAATGCTTTGTTTTCCTTTATTAATGTGTTATTTGTCAAAGATTCACCAGGGGTTTGATGTCAGACGGCAGGTTGGCAGAACTGATGAACAGTTGATGATAATGTTCAGTTGCAGAAATGATCCTGACAGCTGGTCGGCTCTCTAAACGCAACAAGATCTTGGGGTTGCGTGTGCGGAATCTCTAACGGAAATGTCTTGTGGAATGTTAACTACTGCACTCCTCGCAGTTTGGTATTCATTGTATTGTATTGTCTCTCTCTCTGTTTCTCTTTTCAGGAGAATCTCTAACTCGTGGTTAAGCACAGGCTGGTTCACAATGACTATTGCCTTAGAGCTTTGTGACAGAATCAATGTTTATGGGATGGTGCCTCCAGATTTCTGTAGGTAAGTCATATTTCAATGCATTGTTTCTGGGGTTTTGGTGTACAGTGAGATCACCACTCGTGAAAATGTTTTTCTTTTGCATTTTTCTGATTTATACCGTCCAAAAGTTTTTAAGATTTTTCAATGTTTTTGAAATAAGTCTTATCAAGGCTGCATGTGTTTGAACAAAAATACAGTAAAGACAGTAATATTATGAAATATTATTAACATTTTAAATAATTGTGTTATATTTTAATATATTTTTAACATATAATTTATTTCCTGTGATGGCAAAGCTGGATTTTCAGCATCATTACTCCAGTCTTCAGTGTCACATGATCCTTCAGAAATTATTCTGATATGATGATTTGGTGCTCAAAAAAGATTTATTGTTATTATAATTATCAATGTTGAAAATAGATTTTGCTGCTTAATATTTTTGTGGAAACCATGATCATTTGTTTTCAGGATTCTTTGATGAATTGAAAGTGTAACAATGTAATGTAACCATATAAAAAAAGTCATTTTTGATCAAATTTAATGCATCCTGGCTGAATAAAAGTATTACATAAATGAATAAAGTCTTACTGGCCACGACCTTTTGAATGTTTAAAGAACATCTGTCCATTTATTCATATTAATTTTTGTCAGAAGATTAATGGCACAAATTTGTTTATTTCATTATTGACCTAGAAATAATCATGCACTGATATTACAATTATATCTGATATAAGACAAGATATTTAGGCTATATTTATTTTCATGTTACAGCCACAAAAAAAAAGCAGATTTTAGAATTCTATCATATTTTGTCAAAGTAAAACTAAAATGTCTAATGTATAAAACTCTAAAAACTAAAATGAATAGTTAAATGCTACAAGTGAATTAATGCATCTTGACTTTGTAATGTACAATATATAAAATGTATATTCATTTTGAGATTAAAGATTAAATTTAACACTTATTAAATTATTAGTGTTTTTTTAAAGATTATCTTTGAGTAGTTATTAGGTGACGACTAATGTAATCTAAATGTAAAAATATAGAAAATAAACAATTAAATGTCCAATATTGGCCTATATGATAAATAAAAAAAATCTCTTAATATCAGTTGAAAACTGGCATCCCTATGAGAAATAGGTCACAGATCAAATACGGTAAGCATTTTTTTTCGCCATAATGGTTCGTTGTTTACAGTGTTTTAAAATCTGCGTTTAAATTATATTGTGAATCGCAGATGTGGTCAAAGATCAGTTCTTTCTATATGTGTATGTATTGATTTTCTCCCTGCATAGTCTGCAATATTGCCACGGCCGTCCCTGCTGTGTACCAGAGCTACGGGGAAAAATAACCCAGAGCCGAAAATTAAATGATTCATTGTGATTCCCCGCTGAGGCATGACCTTTCCCCCAGCCATTTTCCAACCTTAATGTATTACATAAAATCTATTCATTCCCCTTAAAGCAAGCTATACTCTGAACCAAATCAGGTTAATTGCCTTGAAAACGAATATCTAGCTCAGGATTAATTTGAGAATCGAGAAATACAATGACACTGTCCCCATTTTAATCTCTTCTCTCATTGTGTCCAGGGAGTCCCAGCACCACTCTGTCCCGTATCACTACTACGAGCCCACGGGCCCGGACGAATGTGCCATGTACATCTCCCACGAGCGAGGCCGTCGAGGCAGCCACCATCGCTTCATCACGGAGAAGCGGGTCTTTGCGAACTGGGCTCGGACATTCAACATCCATTTCTACCAGCCGGACTGGAGTCCTCCGCCGTTACCGAGAAATCACACGGCGACCACAGCGTTTCCTCGATCGCAGAAGACGTGACTCTTACCAGAGCCTTCCAAAGATCTCAAACTGCCTCAAACGGATCACTGGCTAATTCCTGTTGCCATGTGGATGGAGCTTTACGTGTCGGGTTGGCTGGGAGAGGGCGATTCATGGAGAACTGACGCTTAAACCTATTCTTTTGCACATTCATTGGTTTTTTTTTTTTTAAGGTATGAAAAGCATTCCAGCAATCTGTACACATTCATATTTCAGAAATCCTTATCAGCAATGTATTGAGTAATCACTAAGAGATCTTGGTTTTATACCGTGTGAAAGAAAAAGAAAAAGGATGGCGGATCCAAGAGCTCTGAAGTGACGAGGATCCGCTTGCAAACAAAATGTGCGCTAAAGTCAATGAAAAAGCATTGCCATTTTTTTTGTTCCGTAATTCAATGAGAGAACAAAACGGTGCAACTTCATTTAATCCAGGCCCAGAGAGCAACATGGTGTTGGCCCAGATCCAGCCCACATCTGGCACGTGCGTGGATTCCCCACGGCCCAGATCTGGGCCAGAACTATGTTGCTGTCTGGGGTTGCAATTGATTTGACTGTGAAACATGGTTTCTATATGACAGGTGGTTGGAGGGAGTGGTTTGTGACGTTTTATTTTTTATTTTTTTTTATGAATTTTGATTATGATGACCATTTTTACAAATTTGGAATAACGTGAAGTCATAATTCGTAATGAGACCACAAATGTGCTCTAAGGGGCCGTTTACACGACACCGTTTTCAACTTAAAGCTCCAGTCCGTAACTTTTTTAAGTTAAAAATAATCCAAAATAATTATATAAAAAAAAACGTATTCTGCCAGTGGTCAAAACTATCTGCTTGCCATAGCTAGATTCAAAACGGTTAGTTTGTAATAATGATTTTAATTCCAGTGGTACTGGTGGGTTTCCGTGGGAAATTCGAGCATGTCTTTGCGTCATTACGTCACACCCGTACACATAAAGAAGGAGTTTCGGCTAGCCGGCTATACTGCGCGTGACGAGATGTTTAGATGTATAGGCTTTTCTCGCAGCACTTTACATAATTAAACTTATGGCATCCAGAAAGATCCAAACAACAATCATCAGTGTCAACTGGAGATTCAGCAGTTATAAAACCCAAAAGACTTCGTACTTCGGATTTAAGGTGGCTAGAGAAAGAGAAAGAAACCGTCTCATGCGAACAAGGATTTAAACATCGGCGGGGCTTTTGAAAAGTGCGTGAACTCCGTGTTTTGAAGGGGTTCGAAACGGAAGAAGAGACGGCTTTTTTCTGCTGAACAAGTAAGACATTTCAATAGTTCAATCGTGTAACAGTACGTTTTCTTAATTCACACAGTTATGGAGTTTCCTTTGTTGTGCCTTTCTCGTTTTGCTATTATGGAGAATATGAATTCTGAACTACACAGGTAACCATAAAACACATTAAATTTAACATTAGTCACGCAATGCTGATGTTGTTAACATTAACAATTTGAGAACAAAGTAGGCTATAATTTGCACGGTTGCTGTAAATCGCGTTGATTAAATCTAACGAAGCTTATGTCGAATGCTTTTTCCCCCTTAGTTGGTCAGAACAAAAATGGATTTTACTTACTTGTTCAGAAGACATTTTCTTATTAGAATTCTTATGTTGGTCAAACTTTCAAAAAGTGAATCTGTGATTCTGTATGCCAGTATCCACACAGCGCGGTGACTGACAGCAGCACTCGCCTCAAAGCACTGTGTTCATCCGCGCTGTTTCATGCCGATTTACAACCCACGTAAAGATAATAATTCCGCGAATCACTGCAGTTACAGATTTCAAACAGAGAGATGGCGACAAAGAGGAAAAGATACGGACTGCAGCTTTAAAACGGAAAACTTTTTATGCATTTTGACCATTCATTTACATGACAATGGCGTTTTGCGGACCTGAAAATGTAAACTTTTGAAAACGTTTTTTGAAAACTATACCGTTATCGTCTCCGTGTAAACTACAAAAACGCATAGTTTTTCTTTACAAAGTAACATCGCCAACTAGTGGCCTGGCAGCAGAATGCAGCGTTTTTAGTCGTTTATGAGGATCCGTGGGGACGTGAAACTTTTCAAAAACGCAAAGGAAAAACTTTTTACGTTTTGAAAATGTTTTAGTACATCATACATTGTTGTCGTGTAAACGTACCCAAAGAAATCTATCTATCTATCTATCTATCTATCTATCTATCTATCTATCTATCTATCTATCTATCATGTTTTGCTCTTTTTTTTTCTTAAGATAAGAAAGTTGCGCACTGCAGAAACCGTTACACAGAAGATCAATGGAGCAAATGATTGTAGCTACTTGATTGATTTGAAATGTTTTAACATGAACAATAAACAATTTGTTTGTTAAAAGGGAAAAATGACAATTAATAAGCACTGTGATCCTGCAGTTTTGATCTAGCGTTCTCACATTTATCAAAACTGGAATATTTAAGACGACCAGATGGGATGTATAGTCTTGGTGCCAGGTTTCAGATAAAACGGCATCTTGAAATCCCACCAGAAACGCAGCAGTATGAAGTCAACACAGAGCGTATTAAAATGAAATGCATTATTTTTGTGGTCAGTGTGAAGAGCATGTCAGAGGTGTACAGGACGCGTACAGGTGTAATTATGCCCGTCACAGCAGGAGGTCACGCATCATTGACTATGACCGCGCTGCGCCTGTCAGTCATGCAAATGTACACGCGTCGGGACTGTTAAAGCAGCCGTCGCATTAATGCGCCCCAGATGACTGACAAGTTGGCATCGCTGTTGAATGCACAAATGTTTGCAGATACGACGTGCCGCTATGAGTGATGGGTCGGACTATTATAGCATGAATTATTGCAAAAGCGATTGTTCGTTGTATAAATGCTGATGTAGGCCTGTCCATCTGGAAGGGAAGCACTAGAATTCTGGGAGATTTAGTTCTGTTTGCTAACAGCTGTTAGAGGAAATCATGTCACAAGATAAAGGAAAAGTGTTTGCTAGATAAAGTCATTCCTATAATAATGAATAGGGATGTTATCTTAATTGATCTGACCACAATAATTAGGGACCCTATTTTAACGATCTAAGCACATGGTCTAAAGCGCACAACGAAAGTGCACTTACTGTAGGTCATGTCCGAATCCACTTTTGCTAGTTTAATGGCGGGAAAAATGGTCGGCGGCGCATGGTCTAAAAGGGTTGTCCCTATTCTCTTAAAGGGTTAGTTCACCCAAAAATTACTCACCCTCATGTTGTTTCAACCCCGTAAGACTTTCGTTCATTTTCGGAACACAAATTAAGATATTGATTAAATCTGAGAGCTGTCTCACTCCTTCATAGACTTCTATTGTAATTGAAACCTGCCGGCCCAGAAAGTTAGTAAAGACATCGTTAAAGGGCACCTATTATGGCATTTAAAATGTTCCTAATATTGTTTTGGGAATCCCCAACAACAGTTTTACATGCATGCAATGACAAAAAACACATTTGTTGTCTTATAATATGCATTTATTTTTACCTGATTTGCTCACCGAGTCCCAAATGATTCGTTCAACGACTCATTTTTCCAAACCCCTCCTTTGCGTGACGCTAATCTGCAGTGATTGGTCAGATGACCCAGTCAGTTGTGATTGGTATACTCTGTGCAGAGATTGTCGGAAATGAAACGCCCATCACCATTAATGGATTATGGCTTGTTAAGTGTTGAAAATTCTATACAGTATATGAACAGACATGGCATCAATTTTGCCTTATCAATTCGAGCCAGAGTCCGAAGAGGAAACGTCCAGAGATGCCGATGAACCAGAAACCCAATCGCAAACACTACTGGAGCAGCACCTTTCCCAATGGTAAGTGTCAATGTACCGTAGTTTATGGTACTTCAGGCCAATGGAACATGCATAATCGGACTAATAATGTCTGATAAATGACGTGCTGTAATCGGATTAATTTTGCTGTCGGAACGGAAGTATTAGACAAATTAATTGGCAATTTTTTTAGGTGCACGTGTGGGAACTGTATCAAAATGCCAAGCGGGGCTGAAAATCTTTGCTGCAAGGAAGTACAACAGGTAGAGTTGATCTATTGTTTATGCAATACTTGTGCCTTTGACACTAGTACATGTAATGCTTAATAAAAAAGAATTACATGTAATAGATTAAAATAACAATCATAACGTGAAGTGAAAATATTGTGTGTGCATATACACTCACCGGCCACTTTATTAGGTACCCCATGCTAGTAACGGGTTGGACCCCCTTTTGCCTTCAGAACTGCCTCAATTCTTCGTGGCATAGATTCAACAAGGTGCTGGAAGCATTCCTCAGGGAGTTTGGTCCATATTGACATGATGGCATCACACAGTTGCCGCAGATTTGTCGGCTGCACATCCATGATGCGAATCTCCCGTTCCACCACATCCCAAAGATGCTCTATTGGGTTGAGATCTGGTGACTGTGAAGGCCATTTTAGTACAGTGAACTCATTGTCATGTTCAAGAAACCAATTTGAAATGATTAGAGCTTTGTGACATGGTGGAAGTAGCCATCAGAGGATGGGTACATGGTGGCCATAAAGGGATGGACATGGTCAGAAACAATGCTCAGGTAGGCCGTGGCATTTAAACGATGCCCAATTGGCACTAAGGGGCCTAAAGTGTGCCAGGAAAACATCCCCCACACCACTACACCACCACCACCAGCCTGCACAGTGGTAACAAGGCATGATGGTTCCATGTTCTCATTCTGTTTACGCCAAATTCTGACTCTAACATCTGAATGTCTCAACAGAAATCGAGACTCATCAGACCAGGCAACATTTTTCCAGTCTTCAACTGTTCAATTTTGGTGAGCTCTTGCAAATTGTAGCCTCTTTTTCCTATTTGTAGTGGAGATGAGTGGTACCCGGTGGAGTCTTCTGCTGTTGTAGCCCATCCGCCTCAAGGTTGTGCGTGTTGTGGCTTCACAAATGCTTTGCTGCATACCTCGGTTGTAACGAGTGGTTATTTCAGTCACTGTTGCCCTTCTATCAGCTCGAACCAGTCTGGCCATTCTCCTCTGACCTCTGGCATCAACAAGGCATTTCCGCCTCAAGGTTGTGCGTGTACCTAATAA